CTCTCCAAGGGATGAACCTGTACACAGACTGGGTGCACAACCTTGACCCCGGAAGCCCCCATTCTTTTTTTTTTTTTTTTTAAGATTTTGAGAGAGAGTGAACAAGCAGTGAGAGGGGCAGAGGGAGAAGCGGGCTCCTTGCTGAGCAGGGAGCCCCATGTAGGGCTCGATCCCAGGACCCCCGGATCATGACCTGAGCGGAAGGCGGACGTTTAACAACTGAGCCACCCAGGCGCTCCTCCCCACCAGGGAAGCCCCCATTCTTAAGCTTCTTCTGGAAATCTGACTTGTAGGAAAATAGGGGCCTCACAGCATCTTCATATGGGACCTTCACTGCCCAATTCATGTTCTCGTCTCTTCTCGCTCTGACATGGACGGCTGTAACATTGATCTCATCTTCCTCTAGTCCATCCTCCGCACAGCACACTTGACCTATGTCAGCCCTGAGGTCACCCCTCAGGATGCATACTCCACTCCTCAACACCTTGTACAAGGTCCCACACATCTGGTCCTCATCTTCTGCGGGATAATAGGCTTTTGGATTCTTTGGAGGGGAATAATGTAGCTGAAGATAGAGCAAGCACTAGGGCCTCAAAGGCCAAACAAGCATCCTAAAAGCCAGGGCTTATGTCAAGTTTTATTTATTTATTTTTATTTTTATTTTTTAAAGATTTTATTTATTTGAGAGAGAGAGAATGAGAGAGAGGAGGGAGGGTCAGAGGGAGAAACAGACTCCCTGCCTAGGAGGGAACCCGATGCGGGACTTGATCCAGGGACTCCAGGATCATGACCTGAGCTGAAGGCAGTCGCTTAACCAACTGAGCCACCCAGGCACCCTTATGTCAAGTTTTAAAGCGGTGGCCTTGGGGCGCCTGGGTGGCTCAGATGGTTAAGCATCTGCCTTCGGCTTGGGTCGTGATCCCAGGGTCCTGGGATCGAGCCCCGCATCGGGCTCCTGGCTCAGCGGGGAGCCTGCTTCTCCTTCTCCCTCTGCCTCTCTCCCTGCTCATGCTCTCTCTCTCTCTCTCTGTATCTCTGTGTCTCAAATGAATAAATAAGATCTTAAAATAAATAAATAAATAAAGCAGTGGCCTAATGGGGCATCACATGAGTATTTCTGGAGCCAGGAAAGGATAGAGGAGGGGCGCCTGGGTGGCTCAGTCATTAAGCGTCTGCCTTCCGATCAGGTCATGGTGCCGGGGTCCTGGGATCGAGCCCCGCATCGGGCTCCCTGCTCAGTGGGAGGCCTGCTTCTCCCTCTCCCATTCCCCCTGCTTGTGTTCCTGCTCTCACTATCTCTCTCTGTCAAATAAATAAAAAATCTTAGAGAAAAAAAAAAAAGAAAAGAAAGTAGGAGATGAGGCCAGTTCAGCAGCAGTTTCCTAGGGGCTTGAGGTCTGTGCATGGCTCTGCTGGATGGGGGAGTGCCTTTGGGGGACCAGTCAGTGCTCAGATGGAGGGTAGGGGGCAAGGTGTGTTGGGGTTAGCTGATGAGGTGCATGGGTCCCTGACACACAAGCAGGTTTGGGTGCGGGAGTGCCTGTGCGTGCTTCGGCAAGGGGCAGGAGGCTCGCCTGCCTTGCTAGAGGACTCCAGCAGTGGTACTGTTGAGGCCAGCTCTTGGAAGCCCAGGTCCTGGGCCTGCTGGTGTCAGGCCAGCTCCCAGGCCTTCCAACCCCAGGCCCCGTGGACACGTGGTGTCTTAGAGAAGGGCCTTGGTCCTGGGCAGGAGTAGGGGTGGGTGGGCAGGGAGCTGAGGACGTCTGTTTTCCCCTTCTGGGCAAGAGAACTGCTCATAGGTTAGATGCAAGAAGGACCTGCACAGCCTCCTCCCCCCACCCCACCCCCAGCTGCAGGTCGAGGTCACATGTGCCCACGTTTGCACTGAGCCTGGCTTTGACTCCTTGAACTAGTGCCTACAGGCCTTCCGCGCCTCCCTGGGCACACGGCTGGAACCTAACTGCCCCGCCCCCTCCCACCATCTATACCCCAGGGATTTCCCTCCCACCGAACTAAAGACCGTTGTCTGGTCTGGTTTGTCAACTGCCACCTACATCCTGCCTTCCCAGTTTACTGGAGAAAATCGGCTGCCTTTTGGCTTTGAGTTGGTAGAGAGGGGTGGAGGGAAACTCCAGCACTCCTGGATAAGGGAGGCCCCAAGATTTGCCTCCAGGCTTGTTAAGGCCTTACGCTGAGCGGGGAAGAGGAAGGCTGAACCCCCGGCCCCAAGTCTAAGACAGGGCAGGTGCAAGCGGCAGGGGAAAGAAGGCAGAAGAGTCTCTTCCGGCAGCAGGAAGTGGTAGGAAGTGGTAACTACCTATGGGGAAATGAGGCTTGTTCCTCCCTATGGGGTTGAGCAGAAGGGGAACCTTAGCCAAACCCTGCTCTCCCTGCAACGAGGGGGCCTGAGGGAATAATGGCTGAGGTTCTAATCTCTGGTGCTGACTTTCCTTCCCCACCCACCCTGGGAACTTCCCACCAGGCTCTCCAGGCTCCTTGCGCTTCTCTCTCAGGGCTCTGAGTTGGGATGGGTAGGTTCCATCTGATGTCCTGGGGGTCTGGAGCAGCTATAGGGTCACTGCCCTACTGTTATTCAGTGCCCATGGCCATGCTGTGAAGGGTGTGGTTTGGCAGTGGCGACCAGACAACCTTCTGAGAGGGGGGGCAGCAGCCAGAGGGTGCCAGCTTGCTGGACACGTTGAGGCTCTCCCAGGGGCCCTGGCTGCTTGGCAGCTGAGCGTTGGGCACAGGCAGCCCAGGTGTGTGCCCAGAGCCCAGCACGAGGGGGCGGCAGGGTCCAGCCGCAGCGGGACCCCGCCGGAAAGCCCTCGCGGGCAGTGCCAGGCGGGGGGCCGCCCCGCCCCCGGAGCCGCGCTGGGGGCGGGGCGGGGCGGGGCCGGCGGGGGCTGCTGGCTGCAGAGCCCCAGGTCCCGGCGCCCGGCCCGCTCGCGGCCGCGTGGGAGCAGTGGGGCTCGACGGCGCGGCCGCCCGGAAGCCATGGCAGCGCATGGGAAGCTGCGCCGGGAGCGGGGGCTGCAGGCCGAGTATGAGGCACAAGTGAAAGGTGAGAGGGCGTCGGGCGCCCGCCCCCCCACCCCCGGCCCCGCTTCCCTACCGAGACCCCAAGGGCGTGGGGGAGCCGGAAAAGTCCCGCCGCTGGCCCGGGGCCCGCTGCTCCTCCCCTCCCCCAACCCACCCCCTGCGACCTCAGGAGGGGCTTGAGGGAGGGAGGGAGCCCGACCCCGACCCCCCCCCCCCCCCCCCCCCGAGCCTGAGCCCTTTGCCCGCTTCTCCGCGCCCATTTGGTCTCAACCGCCGGCTCTTTCCCCTTCCTTCCTTCCTTCCTCCCTCCCTTCCTTTGGTTGCTCTGCCCTCCTTGGTTCTCCCTGCCCCTCACCCAAGAGCCCGAGTGAGAGAAGGGGGCACCCGGTGCCCCCCAGAAAGTGGCATTGTAGCCAGAGTGAAATTGAGCATCTTGGTTTTGCCGAGGAGGTCCAGGTAAAGGTGTCTGAGTGCCTAAGGTGCCTGGATTAGTGATGGCTTTGCCTTGAAACCAGTTCCTTTGCCCTCTCTCGGGCACTGAGGTGGCTCAGAGCTGAGGGCTGCTGTCTCTGGGTCAGACTGGCACAGTGGATATCGGCCTTAGAGATTCAGGAGGGCCAGCTCCGAAGCCTTCCGAGGGTAGACCTCCTTGGGTTCTGATAATCACTTTGTGCAAATCACATGCAAATCAGCTTTGCAAATTCTTAGTCTACAGCTTCTGCCTGTCTCATCCAGGGCGAGGTAACTCTTCCAAAAGAAAGAAGGTAGCATCCAAGTGCCAACAGTTGGGGCCATAAAGTTTCCCTGTGTCTTCAGATGTCACTCTTAATTGCTCCCTTTTACCGATGAAGGAAACTGAAGCTCAGGGAGAAGTGCCTGGCACACGGTCACACGGCAATAACAACCCCTAGGAGGGAGAAGGAAATGACCCTTGAAGTTCCTTCCCACCCAGAAATGCAGGTTCTTTTTTTTTTTAAGATTTTATGTATTTATTTATTTGTCAGGGAGAGCGAGAGAGCACAAGCAGGGGGAGCGGCAGGCAGAGGGAGAAGCAGGCTCCCAGGTGAGCAGGGAGCCCGATGCGGGACTCGATCCCAGGACCGTGGGACCATGACCTGAGCCGAAGGCAGGCGCTTAACCAACCGAGCCACCCAGGTGCCCTGAGATGCAGTTCTAACATAATTATCCAATTCGAGCAATTTACACCAAAGTATGCCTGAGTCCTCCCCGTCTGGAAAAGGTGGCTTGCTGCCCGGAGCCAGCTTGAGGTGACTTTGCAGGGTGAGAGAAGCCTTGCCTTCATCATTCGCAGGTGGAGATAACGACCCCCATCCTACTTCCCCAAAATGTCAGGAAGCTGAAGGACTTTGGAAACTCTTCAGTCAGCAAATATGGACCAGTTAGTTTACACTGAAAAATTGGGAATTTGAGCCAGGCTGTCTTTAAAATGTTCCTTGCCTGCTCTGGATTTCCAGTGACTTTAGCTTCTAAACCCTTCCTCCCCGCCAAAGAAACTTTTTACCATACTAAAAAAAAAGGATCACTGTCTTGACACCCTAAATTCTGAAAGGTCAGCATAGTCGTGGTTTCGGTGGCCATCTTCTCTTTTGCTTTATTTGTCAGCAGAAGTGAGACCGTATGCCTTGCTCACAGGAAGTGTTGGTGGGGCCCAGGACCCAGCTCTGCAATGCAAGCATATGTGGATTCCATCCTTCCTTTAGACAGATGTTTTGCATGCATCTCTTCTGTCCTAGGCCCTGGGAATACAGTGCTAAGCAAAAAAACCAGCCCCTGCCCTCACAGGGCTCACAGGGCCTGGGGGGGAGACATGTAGCAAAAACCCCTAACACAATCAGGTTCACTATAAAGGGAAAGCACAGATGTCAAGAAAGGGGGTGGGAGGAGGGCCAAACCTAGTTTGGGGGGAGGTCAGGGAGGGGTTGGTGATGAGTGCATTTGAGCTGAGATCTGAGAGCTGGATAGTGACAGCCCAGAGGCTGGGGGCCAAGCCCCAGTCACGGATCTTCTTGACACCAGCCAGTGTGCGAATCCAGGTTCCAACCGATGCATGGCTGTTCTATTCAGCACTGTTCAGTTGCAATTGGTCTCCAGGGAAAGATTGCCCTGGGAGGGCGGGGCAAACAGCAGATGAAGGTGAGGTGAGCTGGGACATCTCAGGTCTTGCTTAGAGTGAAATGAGATGTACTTTTATCCCCAAAATGTTACCCTGATTCAGTGAAGAATGTCTAGATTCCAAGGGACATGGAGCCCACTCCACCTGACCCGTGGAGCCGAGAGCCAGCCCCCGGAGCCTGGCGTCATACGGTATAGGGAGACTCTGTCTCACTTGGCTCTGCCCTGCTCTGTGTTGGTTTCACTGTCAGGAAGCACCCCCCACCTCTGGCTTCTGTTTACCCAGCCTGATCCCGCAGTGGAAAGAGAGCTCTCCTGTTCAGTAATTCCAGGGAAGGCATGAGGACTGTGGCCCCCAGGCTGTTGCTGAGCCAGTGCTGGGGGGGGGGAGGAGCTGAAGGACTGTGTGTGCAGCTGTGTCTGGGAGAGGGACCCAGGGGCTGAGAATAGGAAGGAGACATTCCCCAGAGGGAGATCGGAGGAGGCGATGGGGATGCCGGGCAGGCACAACCCCTGGAGGCTGCCCCGTGCCCACAGCCCCCGGGAAGTCACTGGCAGGACAGAAATGCCTCTCGTACGTCTCCACTTTGCCCCCAGCAGCCACACTGGGTCCAACAGCCTTCACTGTTTTTCTTGGCCTGAACACTTTTCCCAAATGGCCCTGTGGCCCCTCTGTCACCTCCTTCACCTCCCCACCACCCTCTTCTAAGAGAACCCCTCCCGCCCCCACCTCCAGCTCTGACCTCATCTTGCTGTTTGCTTCCTCAGCATCCCTTGCTCCTGGACATTCTAGTATATACCTGTCCACTTGTGATCTGTTTTTTTTTAAGATATTATTTATTTATTTGAGAGACAGAGCATGAGTGGGGGGAGGAGCAGAGGGAGAGGGAGAAGCAGACTCCCTGCTGAGCAGAGAGCCTGACCTGGGGCTCAATCCCAGGACCCTGAGATCATGACCTGAGCTGCTGAAGTCAGACGCTTAACTGACTGAGCCACCCAGATGACCCTGTGTGCACTTGTGATCTGTAGCCCCATTCCCATCGCAGCTTCATGCGGGCAAGCGCTTGGTCAACAGTCTTTGCCACTGTATCTCCTCATCTAGAACATGCCCGGCACAGACTGGGTATGTAATCAACAATCTCCGGAATGGAGAAATCAACTAACGTCCCTCCCTGGGTATGTGGATGGAGATGAGTCAGTGGGCGACCTGTTTGCCAGAAGCCCAGACAGTGTTATTACCTGGGATCCCCAGTGCCCACCTGGGCACCCAGCGGGTGGCAAAAGTGTTTGTAGCAGGTTGCTTAAGCTTGTCATTCAGGCGGTTCTTTGCTTTAGTGGGGAAAGCAGTGTTGCCAAATCAAGCCAGCGATAAGGTGTCAAAAGCCAGCGGTGTGGGGGCCCTGGGTGTGGCTCTTTCTGCGGGGAGGTGGGGTGGGTGATGGGGAGTGGGGACCGGAGACAGAAAGCAGGCCAGCTCTCTCAGTTCCTTCACTTGTCAGCTCCGGCCGTTGGCCCTCACGCTGGGGCTGCCCTTGGGGGGCCAAGGGCAAGGTTCCTGGCCACTAAGGCCACCAGTTCACTGCAGGTTCGGCAGAGCGCCGTGACAGCCTTGCCCGCACGCAGCCCTGTGCGTGTGTGTGTTCACAGGAGGCTACCCTGCCTGGGGTCCCAGGCACCTGGAAGGCAGGAAGTGGCAGAGCAAACAAGTCAGGGGCTTTCCAAGGACCGGGGAGTGACGGGGCTGGGGCAGCTCTGTGTTCTCACCATCACAGCGGATCGGCCGGGCTCCCTCTCTCCCCAGAGCAGCCTTCCTTTTCTTCAGCTGGGTGGGCCTGGCCTGTTCCCTTTAGCCTGAGCGCAGAGCACCTCCCTGGGGGCCAGCCTCCTTCCCCTCCCGGGGCTTGCCCCCCCCCCCCCCCCCCCCCCCCCCCCCCCCCCCCGGGCCTGAGCCGCCGTCCCCCGCAGAGATGCGCTGGCAGCTGAGCGAGCAGCTGCGCTGCCTGGAGCTGCAGGGGGAGCTGCGGCGGGAGCTGCTGCAGGAGCTGGCCGAGTTCATGCGGCGGCGCGCCGAGGTGGAGCTCGAGTACTCCCGGGGCTTGGACAAACTGGCAGAGCGCTTCTCCGGCCGCGGCGGCCGCCTCGGGGGCAGCAGCCGGGAGCACCAAAGCTTCCGGTAGGTACTGGCGGGGCAGGAGGGCCACAGCAGGGCCCGAGGGCCCCGCTCCGGGTCTGAGTGCCCCTCTGCCCCAGGAAGGAGCCGTCCCTCCTGTCGCCCTTGCACTGCTGGGCCGTGTTGCTGCAGCAGACGCGGCAGCAGAGCCGGGAGAGCGCGACCCTCAGCGAGGTGCTGGCCGGGCCCCTGGCCCAGCGCCTGAGTCACATCGCAGAGGATGTGGGGCGCATCGTCAAGAAGGTAAGGCCTTGGGGCGCCTGGGTGGCTCAGTCGTTAAGCGTCTGCCTTTGGCTCAGGTCATGATCTCAGGGTCCTGGGATCGAGCCCCGCATCGGGCTCCCTGCTCGGCGGGAAGCCTGCTTCTCCCTCTCCTGCTCCCCCTGCTTGTGTTCCCTCTCTCGCTGTGTCTCTCTGTCAAATAAATAAATAAAATCTTAAAAGAAAAAAAAGAAGAAGAAGGTAAGGCCTCCGCCCTGGGCGCAGCAGGTGCGGATGGCCCCAGGCTCGAGGGAGGCCCGGCGGGTGTCAGGCAGAGGGGAGCTGGGCGGAGCCTTGAGTGCCCGCTGGCCCAGCTGCGCTGGGGACAGCGGCCGCCACGGCCCTGGGCCAGCGCCCTGCTCACGCTCGGCGTCCTCCTCAGAGTAAGGATCTGGAGCAACAGCTGCAGGAGGAGCTGCTGGAGGTGGTGTCGGAGCTTCAGACGGTGAGCACAGGGCGGGGCCCGCCCCCATCAGAGCGAGGCCATCATCTCGCGCCCCCCCAAGCCAGGCGCAAGGAAGAGGATCGAGTGCCCAGGAGAGTCCCGGGTTTGGGGGGGACTGCAAGCACGGCCGTCTCTCCCTGTTCTGGGCACAGGGTGGCTGGCCCAAGTGCTCACATGGGGTCGGCTAGCTCTCAGGTCTGAATCCCAGATGGGCTGGGAGGAGGAGGGGGAGGGCTGGCTGTGGCCATGGCCTTCAGCAGGGCAGCCTGGCCTTGGTCCTCCCTGCAGGCCAAGAAGACGTACCACGTGTACCACATGGAGAGCGTGAATGCCGAGGCCAAGCTCCGGGAAGCCGAGCGGCAGGAGGAGAAGCGGGCGGGTCGGAGTGCCTCCGCCACCACCACCACCACCACCACTGAGGCAGGACCCCTCCGCAAGAGCTCCCTCAAGAAGGGAGGGCGGCTGGTGGAAAAGGTGGGCCTGGAGGGCACCCGTCTGTCTTCGAAGGCTCTGGTTCTAACCTTTGACCCTGGAATCCCTGGCTCTCCCTGGGACCTGCTGGGAGGTGGGGCATGGAGGGAGAAAGCAGGGCTGGTAAGGCTGGACCTAGTCAGTTCTGCCGGCTTTCGAGGGCTCTCCAGCCTAGGGTGGTAGATGCGGTACCGGGGAGGGGGTGGCAGGAGAACAGTCCTCCCTGTGCTCCTAGCTCTCCCCTACCCAGCTGGAGTGAGGACAGCTTTGGTGCTCCCAACTCAGGAAACCTTTGCACCCACCCATCCCTGCCTCGCACAGCGCTGGCAGGTCTCAGAGGGGCAAGAAGACACATAGGACGGTGGTTGGGTGACGTGCACAGAGAGAATGTTTGAGGTGGCCCCTGAAAGGTTGGGGGTGTACCCAGCCTGGAGGAGCTGAGGCAGAACGGGGGTTGCCGGCCCGAGATGGGAGAGTTTCTGCGTGGCGGTTGGGGGGGGGGTGCAGCAAGGGAGGACACTGGGACTTCGGGGCCATGTGCTCCGAGGGGCCTGTGGGACATCGGAGGCACATGTCCACATGGGGAGGGGGGTGTGGAGAGTCCGTGGAAGGCCTGAGATGGGGGCTGGCTGGCCGGCCGAGTAGGCGACCCTGGTGTACTTCTGTGGTCTTGAGCAGCGTCAGGCCAAGTTCTTGGAACACAAACTCAAGTGCACAAAGGCGCGCAACGAGTACCTGCTCAGCCTGGCCAGTGTCAATGCTGCCGTCAGCAACTACTACTTGCATGACGTCATGGACCTCATGGATGTGAGTACTGGGTGGGCAGGCCGGGGGGCGGGGCGCTATGCACTGGGGCCCACCTGAGCCATGTGCTTGCCTCCTCCCCAGTGCTGTGACACAGGATTCCACTTGGCCCTGGGGCAGGTGCTCCGGAGCTACGCGGCTGCCGAGAGCCGCACCCAAGTCTCCCAGATGCAGGGCCTGGGCAGCCTGGAAGAGGCCGTGGAGGCCCTAGATCCTCCAGGGGACAAGGTCAAGGTGCTGGAGGTGCATGGAGTTGCCTTCTGTCTCCCACAGCGTTTTGACTACCACCCCCATGAGGGAGATGAGGTGAGGGTCACCGCCCCCCAGGCATGGACGCAAAGGGCTTTGTGTTCTCTGGTCTTCATTGTAACAGCGGTTAAGTCGAATGAATCCCACTTTGCTAAGGAGTCGAAACTCCTGAATGCAGCTTATTTCTCAGACCCTCATTCAATGGCCTCAAGGCAAATGAGGCTCCCTAGAAGTTTCGCCGCTTGCATTTGAAGCAAGCAAACTTCTGCCGTTCATTGGCTGAACGCAACCTCCCCACCACAGCAAACACAGCAAAACTAGCACCAGGTGGACGCCAGGTAGTAGGTGGGTATCTAGCTGTCCATATAGTCTTTGTCCCAGCGTTCTCCATGTTTTAGACAATTCATAATACCAAGTTGAAGGGAAATAAACCATACAAGCTGTAGAATATAGCTAGCATCTTTTCACTTGTCCCTGAGCTGTTTTTTTTCCTTACCAGTTTGTCCAAATGGGCATTGTGAATGGACAGGGATTGCACAGAGCTTTTAGTTTTTTAATCTGTATATTGATCCGAGTCATAGTTGAAAAAGTCAAATGTTACTCAAGGCTTACGATGGCCCCTGGCAGTTCTCTGACTCACCCTTTCTGTTCCCGATTCCACTCCCCAGAAACAGCCACTTCCCTGCTGTCCCCTAGCTGCTGCTTCTGGGGCTTCCCTCCCTGTGTTCAAATTGCACAGCACGCTGCTAGTTGCTTGTCAACAGACTTCCTTCCACAGCCGGCTAGCCTAGTGCGCAGCCCTACCACCGGCTCCTCTCCCTCCGTCCACCGCCCCAGGCAGCCTGTGACTTCGCTTGTCTGAAAATGCCTGTATTCTAGCCTTGAAATTGGTTGGTAGTTTAGCTGGATATAGAATTCAGAGTTGAGAATAAGTTTCTCTTTCGACTGTTAAAGGCATCGCTTCAAGCTTTTAGCATTGTCGGTGCGAAGTCCAATACCCTTCTGATTTCTGATCCTTTGTGCGTGACCTGAGATTCTTCTCCCTGAAGTTTTTAGAAGTCTCTTTCCTGCCTGGTAAAATTTTGTGGTGATGTTCCTTGGGGATCCTTTATCCTTCACAGTGCTGGGCAACCAGTGGGCATTGTCAGTTTAGAATACTGTGGCCTTAGGTTTTGGGCTTATATTATTCCTTTGATCATTTCCTCCCTCTAATTTTCTTTTCTCTCACTTTCAGGAATTCCTATAATTGGATGTTGGACCTCATGGGTCAATTCTCTAAATTTCTTATCTTTTCTCTTTCCTCTTCTCCTACCTCTATACCTTTTAGTTCTGCTTTGTTTTCCAAATTTCTATTTAAAATAACCCTTTGTACTTGTCTTGTGGACATCATGTTTTCTCAAATCATTCTGAAACATTCATTTTTGTTTTCTTTTTTTTTTTTTTTTTAAGATTTTGTTTATTTGACAGAGACACAGCGAGAGAGGGAACACAAGCAGGGGGAGTGGGAGGGGGAGAAGCAGGCTTCCCACGGACCGGGGAGCCCAATGTGGGTCTCGATCCCAGGACCCTGGGATTATGACCTGAGCCGAAGGCAGATGCTTAACGACTGAGCCACCCAGGCACCCCTCATTTTTGTTTTCTTGACATTTTTCTCTGCTCTCTGCATTTTCTGTTTTTTCTTACAGCTAAAAAAAAAAAAAGCTTACTTTCATCTTTCTCTTTCATTTCATTTTTTTTTCCTTTCATTTTAGAGCTTCCCTCAAATGGCTGGCAATTCTTGGCCATCAGGTCATATTTAAGAGGAGCTGCTGAGAGGTAGATTAGATGAGATATCTGATGCTCATGAGCAGAGCTTGTCAACGGGGGCTTCCCCTCAGGGAAGGGACTCAGACCATTGCTTTGAGGGAGACCCCCATGGTGGGGAGCCTGGGGTGTCCTGGTAAGAAGGTGCTAGAAAGGACTAGTAGGACCTGGGCTGAGGTTACAGGATTTGGGAGAGGGACTCGGTCTAGATACCATTGAGAAGAAGGGGTAACTCTGATTGGATGTCTTCACAAATCTTATCTAGAAGGCAGGAGTTGGGGGGGTGGGGGGTGAAGGGAGGCTAAAGCAGCCCACACTCCTATTAGCCTGAACAGAGGGAGGTTTGGTTATTTCTGTGGCTTCGACAAAGTTCTTGTTTTTGTCTGCACTCGGATGTGATTATGAGGTGTCCTTGTTTTTGTCGTCATCTCTCACGGTCACAGAGTGACCTTGTCTGACGCTGATGCTCTGTGACATTCCTTATGTTCAGTAGGATAACACCACGTCCCATCTGGGCGGCTCCAGATGGCAGTGGCTGCTTTCTTCTTTCTCATCAGTAGGAAGTTTTGTCCCCTTCTTTAGCTGTGACTAGTGGCCCTAAGTCCAGAATCCCTCTGATTTATTCTTTCCAGAGGCTAAATCTCTACTTTTCTGCTAATTGTATGGGTTTGGGGGAGGGTCTTCTAATGTTAATGTTTCCTAGAGTCTGGAGAGACTTTTTTTTATAATTCTGATAAAACATACATGAGATTTACCATTTTAACTATTTTAGCTGCATATGTATATATGGATGGATTTTTTTTTTTTTTAGTAATTTCTTTTTTTTTTTTTTTAAGATTTTATTTATTTATCTGAGAGAGAGAATGAGATAGAGAGAGAGAGCATGAGAGGGGGGAGGGTCAGAGGGAGAAGCAGACTCCCTGCCGAGCAGGGAGCCCGATATGGGACTCGATCCCGGGACTCCAGGATCCTGACCTGAGCCGAAGGCAGTCGCTTAACCAACTGAGCCATCCAGGCGCCCCTTTTTTTAGTAATTTCTGTAGCCAACGTGGGGCTCAAACTCACGACCCCAAGACCAAGAGTCACATGCTCTACTGACTGAGCCAGCAGGTGCCCCAGTTTTAACCATTTTTAAGTGCAATGTTCAGTGACATTAAGCACATTCATATTGTTGTGTAGCCATCCCCACCCTCCGTCTCCAGAACTTTTCCATCTTCCCATACTGAAACTGTCCACGTTAGACACTCGCTCGCCCTCCCCCCAACCCCCCAGCGCTCACCGTCCTACTTTCTGTCTCTCTGAATCTAGATCTAGACTACTCTAGATCACTCATGCGCGTGGACTCATACTGTATTTGTCTGTTGTGATTTGCTGGTGTCGCTCAGCATAGTGTCCTTGAGGTTCATGGATGTTGTAGCCTGTGACAGGATCTCCTTCCGTTTTAAGGCTGAAGAACATGCCATTGTATGGACAGAGCACGTTTCGCTTATCCATTCATCCCTTCATGGACACTTGGGTTGCTTCCTGCTTTTGGCTGCTGTGAACACGAGTGTGCAAATCTTTCTTGGAACCCCTGCTTTCCCTTCTTTTGGGGAAACACCCAGAAGTGGCATTGCTGACTCCTATGCTGAGTGTAGGTATAAGTGTTTGAGGAGCCACGGTATTGTTTCCCGGACAGACTTTAGCAGGTCCTGGTTTCTGCACCTCCTGCGCCTGCCAGGTGCCTGCCGCCTCGGTCTGGTGGCATTTCCGCCGCTCTGGTGGCTTCTCCAGTGCCGGCCTCGCCTGGTGTCCCCATGACCTAGGCCTTCACCCGTCCCTTTCCAGTGGGGCTTGAGGAGGACAGAGAGCGGGCGGGGCATGTTTAGCTTGCCGTGGATAAGCGAAGTCTTCACTCTCCTTTTTTTTTTTTTTTAATATTTTATTCATTTATTTGACAGAGAGAGAGGGAACACAAGCAGGGGGAGTGGGAGAGGGAGAAGCAGGCTTCCCGCCGAGCAGGGAGCCCGATACGGGGCTTGATCCCAGGACCCTGGGACCATGACCTAAGCCGAAGGCAGACGCTTAACTGACCGAGCCACCCAGGCGCCCCCGAAGTCTTCACTCTCAATTTTAACTTGATGTCAGTGTCAGAGTTCCCTGGATGCTTAAATTCAAAGGAGAGCCATTCCTCGCTTCCTAAAGCCGTCTCCTCCTGTCCCCCACTCTGCCCACAGGGCAAGGCATTCGAATTTTGCCACAGGGAATCTATTTCTGCCTGATTAGAGTGAGCAGTTTTTCTAGCTAGGCCCTCCCTCTTCTGTCTCAGACCCCAGCCCTCCTGACCATGTTTTAAAAAATAATCAACTGCTCTATTGAGGTATGAATCATATACCGTGTAATTCACCCATTTCAAGTGTACAATTCAGTGGGTTTTAGAGTATTCGCCGAGTTATGCAACCATCACCACTCTCTCATTGCAAAACACGTTCACCCCCCAAAAGAAACCCTGGACCCAGGAAGCAGTCACTCCCCACCCTCCTCCCCCACCCCCCCCATTACCCACTCACCTCCTTTCTGTGTTTGTGGGTTTGCCTCTCCTGGACGTTTCATGTAAATGGAATCGTATGATATATGTGCCTTTTGCGTCTGGCTTCTTTCACAGAGCAGAATGTCTTCTATGTTCACCTACATGCAGCATGGATCAGCCAGGACACCGCTCCTCTTTGTGGCTGAATGACATTCCATTGTATGGATGTCCCACACTTGCTTTTCCATTCATCAGCCCATAGGCACTGGGCTCCCTCCGTCCTTGGGCTGTTAGGAGTAGCGCTGCCATGTCTGTACGCAAGGGTCCGTGAGCACGTACGAGCTCCTTTCTCTTGGGGAGAGCCAGGTGTCAAGGACTGGGGGTCCTGGACAGCAGCCGCCGAGGCGGTGGAAACGTGCATGCTGCCTTCATGCCCGGAGGCCTCAGTGCCCGCTGCCCAGCCCGCTCCCACGCCTGAGCTTTGTACCCCCGGGCCCAGCCCTCAGTCCTCTGCACGCCGTCCTGCACAGGTGGCTGAGATCCGGCTGGAGATGGAGCTGCGGGACGAGATTCTGCCCCGAGCCCAGAATATCCAGAGCCGTCTGGACCGACAGACCATCGAGACAGAGGAGGTATGAGTGCCCTGGCTCGGGGTGGGGACACGGAGCTGGAGCCAGGGAGCCTCCCCTCCCCCTTCCTTCTGACTTGGACTTCCTGTCCCTCGCTCGTGCCCCATTTCTTCCTGCCCTGGTGCTGGCCGCCCTCCAGGTGAGCAAGACCCTGAAGGCCACACTGCAGGCCCTGCTGGAGGTGGTGGCGTCGGAAGACGGGGATGTGCTTGACTCCCTCCAAGCCAGCCCCTCCACCCCCTCCACCGAGTCCCTCAAGTCCACCAGCTCGGATCCAGGCACCCGGCAGGCTGGCCGGAGGCGGGGCCAGCAGCAGGAGACGGAGACCTTCTACATCATGGTGGGGAGGGGGCAGCTAGGGGGGCAGGGATGGGGCATGGGGAGGACCCAGAGCTGGGATTAAAACTTTGGGCTCTTCTTCGGGCTTCCCAGAAGCTCCAGGAGTACCTGAGTGGACGAAGCATCCTTGCCAAGCTGCAGGCCAAGCATGAGAAACTGCAGGAGGCCATTCAGCGAGGTGGGCCCCACTTCTGGCCCTGGGCCGCTACCTCCCCACCCCCAGGGCCGGGAGCGCACCTGCCCTCCGCTCTCCTGCCCGGGGCCCCCACCCAACCCATGTTCCTCTCTGCCCAGAGAGGTTGGTCGGCAGGCTGGAAAGAACCCAGCAGGGCTCCTGGCCCCTGTCCTGTTAGCCTTTCTCTCTGCCGTGCATTAAGGACCTCCCGGCCTGAAAAGCGCACCTATGTTTTCTACCCCCAGGTGACAAAGAGGAGCGGGAGGTGTCTTGGTGAGTGCGTGCTGCGTGCAGGGCCCATGTGTTCTGATGAGTGGGTTCTGCAGGGACCAAGCTGCCATGTCCCCATCTCCCCTCTCCTGGGGCCCAGCTCTGCTGCTCATCGTTCCGTGGCTTCCATTTCCCACTTGGCCCCGTGGGTTCTGGACTAACTCGTGGGCTGGGCTAGGGGGTGGGCCATCCTATTCTCCATGCCCCCTCCCCTCAGAGCCAGCTTCCGTCCACTGCAGGACCCAGTACACACAGAGAAAACAGCAGAAGAGCCGCCACCCCCGCCCCAGCTCCCAGTATAACCAGAAACTCTTCGGGGGAGACATGGAGAAGTTTATCCAGGTACTGGCTTTACCTCGTGCTCCAACTGAGTGCAGACTCTCCCCCGCATTTTGGTTTCTCTCCAGCCCTGGGCCATCTCTGTGGCCCGGCTGCCTGTGACCCCCAGTGCCCTCCACTGTCGACAACTGGTCAACTGTCCCTTCCTGGATGGGCCTCTGTCAGGCCTCCACCAAGTGAAGGGGACATCCTTCACTAGTAGCAGGCAGCTACAGAGGGGCGCCTGGGTGGCTCAGTCCGTGAAGCATCTGCCTTTGGCTCGGGTTGCGGTCCCAGGGTCTTGGGATGAAGTCCCGCGTCGGGCTCCCTGCTCGGTGGGGAGTCTGCTGCTCCCTCTCCCCGCCTCCCGCTCGTGCTCTCTCTCAAATAAATAAATAAGGTATTTAAAAACAACCACCCAAACAAAAAACAAAAAACCCCAGGCATCTACAGAAAGCCTCAGGCAGGAGCATGTGAGAAGTAGAGCCCACAAGCCCCGCTCCGGCTAGCGTGCCACTGGGGGTCCTAGGCGGCGAAGTAAGGGAAGCAAGAAGGGTCTGAAAAGAAGAAATAGCGCTGGCCTTTCTTATGATGTGATTATGCACTCTGTGTGTATTCAAAGAGCAAACAATGTAAGACGCCCGGGAGCGAATCTCACAAAACACATGCCAGGCCTCCTTGCCAATAACCGTCATGGCTTGTTAAGAGAACATACAAGGGAGCCAGTGACAAGGAGGGACTGTGAAGTGAGCACCCTCTCTGTCCCCAGAGCTCAGGCCAGCCCGTGCCCCTGGTGGTGGAGAGCTGTGTCCGCTTCATTAACCTGAATGGTAAGCAAGACCTGGGCCCTCCTGCTGCCCACCTGGCACCCGATCCTCGAGGGGGTGGAGAGGGGACTTGGCACCCATCGGCTCTCATCCTCCCCCCAGGCCTGCAGCACGAGGGCATCTTCCGGGTGTCAGGCGCCCAGCCCCGGGTCTCAGAGATCCGTGACGCTTTCGAGAGAGGTAGGGACAGGCAGGAGGGGGTAGGGGTCGGGGGAGAGCCGGAGCTGGTGTGATTGGCCTCCTGCGCCCTGTGTCACCTGCAGGGGAGGACCCACTGGTGGAGGGCTGCACAGCTCACGACCTGGACTCAGTGGCAGGGGTGCTGAAGCTCTACTTCCGGAGCCTGGATCCCCCGCTCTTCCCACCGGACCTGTTCCGAGAGCTGCTGGCCTCTGCAGGTGAGGCCAGGGCTGGAGGCCGGCCGGGCGGGAGGGGCCGCTTTCCTGTCGCTGCGGCCTCACTCCTGCTTCTCTCCCCGGGGTGGCGGGGGGGTGGCCTGGGCCGCAGAGTTGGAGGCTGTGGCCGAGCGGGTGGAGCGCGTTGGCCATCTCCTGGCCCAGCTGCCCGCACCAGTGCTGGTCGTCCTGCGCTACCTCTTCACCTTCCTCAACCAGTGAGTGCTTTCTGGGCGACGGGGAGGGCTGACGGTGGGGCGTGCGGGGGCCACCAGGCGGGGCGTTCCCCGCCCGTGACCCGCGTGTGCCCCCAGCCTGGCTCAGTACAGCGACGAGAACATGATGGACCCCTACAACCTGGCCGTGTGCTTCGGGCCGACACTGCTGCCCGTGCCCGCCGGGCAGGACCCCGTGGCCTTGCAGGGCCGGGTGAACCAGCTGGTGCAGACTCTCATCGTGCAGCCCTCCCGGGTTTTCCCACCGCTGACCCTGCTGCCCGGCCCCATCTACGAGAAGTGCATGGCACCGCCCTCCTCCAGCTGCCTAGGGTATGCTCTTCGCGTGCGGGGGAGGGGGGGTCCAGCAGAGGGGAGCCCCCTCATCGACTCAGATGCCTCGCTCTGACCTCAGGGATGCCCAGCTAGAGGGCCTGGTCGGGGAGAACGAGCCGGAGCTGGAAGCTGGGACCCTGGCCCAGGAGGATGGTGAGGGGGGAGAGAAGGAGGACCCGATCCTGTCCCCGCCCTGGGTGCCCCTCCGCCTCCCAACTTGGACCCCCTTTTCTCCCCAGACCTGGAGGGCGTCGTGGAGGCCGTGGCCTGCTTTGCCTACACGGGCCGCACAGCCCAGGAGCTGAGCTTTCAGCGCGGGGACGTACTGCGGCTGCACGAACGGGCCTCGGGCGACTGGTGGCGGGGCGAGTGCTCAGGCGCCCGGGGACTCATCCCGCACAAGTACATCGCGCTGCCCGAGGGGTGAGTGAGCAGCTTCTCCGTCCCCCAGGTGTCTTGCCCCTCCCCTGCCCCGAGTCCTAGCTTCCCTAGGCCTGGGGCGGCCCAGACCACTTCTGGCCAGCACTGAGCCCGCCGGCCCCCAGAGCCTGCGCCGGGAATGAGTGCTTTCAACGGGCTGTCTCTCCGACCCTAGTGCAGAGAAGGTGGGCCAGGGGCCGCAGGCGAGCAGTCCCGAGGTCCTCCTGGCCATGGAATTCGTCCATCGGTGAGCGAGGGAAGGATGGTTCTTCGGGAAGACTCATTTTGGTGGCCCTCCTTGCCCACCTCGGCCTGAGCACTGCTGTTGGGGAGCCAAGGCTGTCCCGGGCAGCAGGTGCTGGGCCAGGTCAGAAGGGGCTGGGGTCTGGCTTTGGCCATGTGGAGAGGGGCCCAGCTGGGGGAGAGTTATCCGGGTGAGGGACGCCAAAGGAGGCCAGAATGGACCCGCTGGGCCAGCCTCGCTCTTCCCCCCTCCCTTGGCCATGCCCTGTCTGTACCCTGCAGGCCAGAGCCATGCACCCCACCTGAGGCCCCTCTGGGCACACCCGGGGGCCCCTCTGGGCACAGACGGCACTGCTTGGTCCCCACCTCCCCGGAGCGGTATGTGGAGGTAGACAAGGTGAGAGCCAGGACTGGCCGTGTGGCAGAGAGCGGGGCAGGGGGGCACCTCTCCTGGGGGGTCTCTGCCTCCCCTTAGGAACCAAACTCTTTCATCCCAAGGTTCAAGTCTGACCTTCCTGGCCTCAGACCAGCTGGCTGAGCCCAGCCTAGGGAGGGACAGGCCGGCAAGGGTGTGAGCCCAGAGGGCAAGGACGAGCCCAGAAGCAGGGTGGAGGGGGACACAGGGGCTCATGCAATTGGGCTTCACGTTTGGTTCTTAACTGGGAAGTGGCAAGTGGGAGTCCCAGGCAGGCATGGCATCTAGAGCCAGGATAGGTGACAGGAAGTGACCTAGCAGGCACTCGGTGGCCAAGGAGGATGAAAGGGACAGATGGAAGAGATAGACAGATGGGGTGGGGAGCTGGCTGGGGAGCCGGGCACGGTGGTGGTTCTCACAGGAGGAGAGAATGGGTGCTGGATGTGGCTCTGGCAAGGGGGCAGCTTGCGGAGACCCAGCTCCCTGCTCTCACGGGCCTGGCATGCCCACCTGCGGGCTCCCAGTGAGCACCGCCGGGCTCAGACAGAAGCCCTGGGGCCAGTGTGAGCTGGACGACAGAGCCCAAGAGCACGCAGCTGTGGCCACACGGACGCTCATGCCAGGAAAGCAGGAGTCAAGTGGTGGGGGGGGGGGGGGCGGGCAGCAGGGGGACACTGACCTGAGAGGCCCCGGCACACTGGTGGCTCCGGGGGCCAAGGAGTGGCTGTGATCCCAGCCAGGGAGAGCGTAGGTATGACAAGAGGGAGGATCTGTTGGTGTCCCCAGAGGAGGCTCTGACAGCTACACCAAGAGTGGCAGGAGGGAGGGGCGCCTGGGTGGCTCAGTCGTTAAGCATCTGCCTTCGGCTCAGGTCCTGATCCCAGGGTCCTGGGATCGAGCCCCGCATCGGGCTCCCCGCTCGGCGGGAGGCCTGCTTCTCCCTCTCCCACTCCCCCTGCTTGTGTTCCCTCTCGCTGTGTCTCTCTCTGTCAAATAAATAAATAAAATCTTTAAAAAAAAAAAAAAAAAAGAGTAGCAGGAGGAAAACCAGGCAGGGGAGGGGGGCGGCAGCTTTGGGTCGAGTGGAGAGGAGGGGCGTGGTGACAGGAAGGTGGCCAAGGGCTTTGGTTTTGGAATGAGAAGGAGTTCAAGGGGACGCTTGGGCAGCAGAGGGAGGAAGGCCCCCCTCCTGCTCAGGTGGTGACCCCCTGACCTGGGCGTGGGAGAAAGGGCTGGCTAGGTTGGGGGAGGCTCTCACCAGATGCCCTCCCTCTCTCTTCTCCCCTCTAGGCCATGGCACAGACCATGGACTCCGTGTTTAAGGAGCTCTTGGGAAAGACCTCCGCCCGCCAAGGCCTCGGGCCAGCATCCACCAGCTCCCCCAGCCCCGGGCCCTACAGCCTGAAGCCTCCAGCCTGCGGCCGCCTCGGCAAGAACAGAGGCTTCTCCCGGGGCTCCGGGGCCCTGGCGTCCCCCTCGGCGTCCCCCTCGGCGTCCCCCTCGGCGTCCCATCCCCAGAGCCTGGACTCGCCCCTTAAGCACTGAGGCTCTGCGGCTGCCCTGCAGGCCCCGCCCCGCCCCGGGTGGCCACCCTTGGCTTCTCCCTGGCCCCGTGCAGCCAGCGCTGGGCTCCTGCCCTCGCCCCCTTCGCAGAGGAGGACACAGCTGCCTGCCCCACAGCCCTGGCTGTGGCCCCCTTGGGAGGCAGCTGCGGAGGGAGGCCGGGGGCAGGCCCCTCCCTGGCTTTGCTGTGACGGCCTGTCAGTGGCTGTTGCGTGGTGGGCTCCCGGGGCCTGTCTCTGCCTCCGCTGAGGGTGCGAACCTGGTGGAGGCTGGCAGGCGTGGGCTGCCATTTATAAAGGCCTGTGCGTTCACTCCCCATGCAAGCCAGTTGTCTGTCCTGGGGGGCTGGGCAGGCAGAGGCACTGTCAGATGCCGGGGTGCTCAGCAAACGTGGCAGCTCAGGCAGCCGGGACAGCTTCCACGAGGGGTCTCGGCACAGAGTTGTCCGTGCCAGGGCCGTGTGGTGTGGTGACTTGCACACCGGGTCTGGTGGCCGCTGGGGGGGCATCTGAGAATGACTTTCCACACTGCCCTACAACCGCCGTTACCCAGATCCAAGGAGACTCACCGGGTGGGAAATGAGCTGGAACCTTTATTAGGGAGAGAGTGAGAGGGGACTAGAGAGGCGGGGGCGGGGGGGCTGGGGGGGGTAGGGGGGGAAGGAAGGTCCTCTGGCTCCACCCCCTTTCCTTCCTGCCGGGCTCCCTGGGACCTCTGTCTCAGGGGCGGGCACTGGCTGGGGTGGAAGCCCACGGCCACGGCCCCAGCCCCGCCCCACGCCCCGGAGCCAGTTCCCCGAGAGCCCCCTCCTCCCCGGAGCTCCCAGGGCCAGCCCGAGGCAGGCAGCGGGCTTTCACAGAGCCTCTAGAAGCCTCTCAGGAGGAAGTGTCCTTGGCCAGGAAGGAGCTGGCAGTGGCGCAGGACTCCTCCTGGGGCCCCAGGCTGGGTGGGGCCCGACTCTGGGCGCAGCAGAGCAGGCTGCGCAGCTCGGAGGACACACTGCTGCTGAAGAAGGCGTAGATCCAGGGGTTGGTACAGCTGTTGAGGCTGGCCAGCAACATAAGCAGCACGAAGGGGGCCTCTGTGGGGGTGGAAGAGCCCGGGCTGGGACTGAGGTTGCCCATGCAGAGGTGCAGTGACCCCATCGGCTCACTAGGGAAGAGCAATCCACGTGAGCCCACGTGTGCTCCCGAGCCCGAGGCTGGAGGCGTCTGGGGGTGAAGGTGTCTATGCGGCCGAGCCTGGCCGGTCCCCCGCAGTCCTAGCCGCGGCCACACGCACCTTCCAGGGGCGCCTTCGGGTCCCACGCTGCCCACAGCTGTACGAGGAAGAAAGGCGCCCAGCACAACACGTAGACAATCACAATCACCAGCGTCATCCTCACGGTCTTGGCCATGGCTGCTGACACCCGGGCCCCCTCACTGGGGCTGCCGGTCCGGTGCCCTCCCCGGCCACCCCCAGCCCTCTCTGCTGGCCCCAGCACCAGGCTGGCATGAATCTCTCGGAAGATGAGCACCTGGCAGGCAGCGATGCCCAGGGCAGGTGCCACAAACACCATTAGGGCGATCCAGGTGACGTAGGCTCGGAGGCCCCAGGGCTCAGCAAAGTGGGCCCAGCAGTCAAGGACCCCACTGCCATTTCCCACGTCACGCTGGGCAAAGATGAAAAGCTGGGGCAGGCTGAAAATGAGCGAGAAGGCCCAGGCCACCAGCACCGGCCGGTTCCAGTGAGCTCCACCTCCGTGGCGGTACGCCAGCATGGGGTGGCAGATGGCGCGGTGGCGGTCCAGCGTCATGGCCAGGATCATGTAGGAGGAGGCATACATGCCCACCATCTGCAGGTACTTGACTGCCCGGCACAGGGCATCAGGCCCACGGAAGCGGTCCGTGGCATCCCACGCCAGCTGGGGCAGTACTTGGAACAGAGCCACGGCCAGGTCGGCCAGGCACAAGTGACCAATGAAGACGTGCATGGGCGCCCAGCGACCCCGCCGGCCCCGGCGCGCTAGGACCCCCAGCACCAAGCCATTGCTCAGGGCCACGGCCACAAAGACTGTGGAGAGCAGGGCTAGCTCCGCCTGGACGAGCAGCGGGTTCCGGGTGTCCAGCAGCTCCTTGCTGCTGTTGCCAGGCAGAACAGGTGGAGAGAGGGTCCAGGGCACAGCTGGGCAGGGGTGGAGGAAGAGGGCCAGGTTAGGGGATGTGCTGGGCACGGGGCCCTGGGCCCAAGGAGGTTCCAGCTGGACAGGCGGAGCCAGTGGTCCGAGCAGCCATCAACCTGGGCCTCCTGCTTCCCTCCAGCCTCCCTTGTCCCGGCTCCCAGCAAAACAGATGCCATTCCCGCCTCACGTGCTGGGGAGGGAAGGGCAGCCCCAGCCCCCAGTGAGCACGCAGGGCCGTGCCCTCCCCTCCCCGCACGGGCAGCCTGGAGAGCAGGGTGAGGGAGGTCTCAGGAAGAGGGGCTTCTTTGCTTCTTCCAACCCCACTCAGCCTACCTGGCTCATCCCAGTGGAGGGATTGGCGGGGGATGGGTCGGGGCCCCGGGGCTGGAACCTTACCAGAAGTGGTGGATGCCACGAGCATGGTGGGGCCGGGGCAGGTGTCTCGAGCGCCTGGAGGAGACACGGTATCGAGCTCAGCCTCCCATTCGAGGGGTCAGCCACGTTGTCCTAATCTCTAGACAGGGGCCCCTAGAGAGGTGGTGAGGTCTGGCCCCACTGAGCCAGTCACGGACCTCAGGGCCCCCTGTGCTCCTCCCAATCCTGGGCAGGTTAAGATAGAAAGGAGCAGTCATGCAGATGGATGAACATGTCCTAGGACCCATCTCGGCAGCCCCCGCAAGATCTGAGGCAGACATACAGGCCCGCCTCCCCCACACACGCAGATGGAGGCCGGGAGAGGTGGCCGTGGGAGGGCAGGGGCTGGGCAGGAGAGGCCAGCATGTCCCCAGGGCCCCTCGAAGCCCCTTACCTGGCTGGGCTCTCTGGGCTCCGGGCAGCTGGGCAGTGGCGGATGCGAAGGTGGCCCAGGAGCTCAGATCTGCTCTCCATCCCCTGCCCCGCCCCAGCCCGGCCTCTGGGAGTGACCTGCCCAGGAGGGGACTTCCTCTCCCTCCCCTCCCCCACGTGCCTCTCCTGGCCTCCTGCCTGTGGCACCGGGAAGTAGGCTCCTGGCCTCCTGTGCTGCCTTTCCTGTCCCGGCCCTCCCAGGTCTAGTCCCCAGGAGTCCTCCCCACCCCCCCACTCGTGAGGGCCTGAGCCCTCCTACGCTGGTCCCCAGCTTGGTCTGGCCGTGACCATCAGGCAAGCTTTTCCCCCAACCCCTGCCTGCGCCCGCCCCCCGCAGGGCCCACCTTACCAGAACATCAGGTCCGGCAGGGCTCTGGGAGATCAGGTAGCTCAGCAGCTCCATTTTATAAGTGGGGAAACTGAGGCCAGAGATGGGTGGGGCCGACTGAAGGGCACCCAGCTTTCTCCTGGCACAGCTTGACTCCTTTCTCACACCAGGTTCCTTCTGTCCCTCTTGGGCCCTGGCGAGGAAGGGGTGAGAGCTCATGGAATCCCCAGTACATGAGTGTTGGCTCCTCCTGGGCCTATGAGGGCCTCCTCCGGAGATGAGGGACCGGAAGGGAGGGGGCGGGGCGGGGTCAAGCCAGGGCTTAATGCGCCCCTGTGAGAGCCAGCTTCCTCCCCAGGGTCCTATGGGAGCCAGGGACGCCCCCCCTCCTCCCCCACCTGCACCTACCTGTCTTAGGAGGAGGGGGCGGCTTCAGATCTCTGTCTCTCTGTCTCTGTCTGTGTCTCTGTCTCTCTCACACACAGACACACACAAGAGCCATATGCCTACCAAGGCCCACTTGACCCGCTCATGTCCCCGCACACTGTGTGGAGGGTCTGAGAGAGGGGCTTCCCCTCCTGGGGCCTCAGGGCTAGGCTCTCCCTCCTTGTTCTCCTCGGCGTCCAGGACCCCTGCCCCCTCCAGTCCATCCTTTCTGTGTCCTGTCCCAGGAGCCCTCTTTCCAATCCTCTCCTGCTCTTGCCACAGAGCCCGGCCTTGCTCAGCCAAGGCCTGCACAGCCCAGCCCAAGGCAGTGGCCCGCATGCCTCCTAGGGCCAGGCTCTGAGCCCAGTTGGCCCTGTTTTCCTGTTTGTCCGTCTTCCCTGATGACCTGCAAGGCTAAAAGCCAAAACAGCTTCCCACTGGCCAGGCAGAAGTATAGCCCAGACCAAGGCCTCCTCTTCCTGGCCTGGCGGGGGCGCGGGGGGGGGGGGGGGAGGCAGCAGGGGGTGGGGCCTTCCACACTTACTACGTGCACACGTGCCATACATTCACACACACACGTCTTTATAATGTGTTTTGCTGACACCCCATGTCAGAACCCTTCAGCCACACCTCCTAAGAACAAGAACTTTCTCACTTTCCTCCCTGTAACCACACTGCCATTATTAACCTAGAAGCATAGAAACAACCTTTCTACTACTGTCCAGATCAACAAAAATGGTAGAAAGTAGGAGTTCCTGGGCAGGATTCTAGAACAGATTTTTCAAGGGAAAGCTATGAGCCACTGGTAAAAAGTCACACCACACCTGCATCCTTTCTCATGCCCGCCCCCCCCCCTCCGTGCCAGGGACCTAGCCTCGCAGGTGGAATGGGACCTCTCCCATCTGCCCAGGAAACTGAGGCACCTGTGGAGGACACATGTCCTCGCCTGGCGCCTCGACCGCTGTGTGACCTTGCAATTCAGGCTTCAGCTTGTCTCTGTAAAATGGGAAGCCAACCCCCAAAGGCTGACGATGGTGACAGGATGGGCAAAGACCTGAAGCCGGCTGGCAATAAGCCCCGGGAAGAGCCTACTTTTGCTACGCAGGGGGCCGCATGGGCAGCTCGAGAGGGAAGCTGAAGGGTCTCTCTGCCCAGATCCCAGCAGAGAGCGACGTGCAGGGCGGAGCCCCTGAGCCGGGAGGCCACTTCCTTGGCCATCGCTATTCCCTGCACTCCTTGTTTCCTGTTGTCGAGCCTGGGGCAAAGATCTTGGGGAAGGCCTCTCCCTCCTCGGTGGTTCTCTCCCGGCTCCAGGAGGCAAGGGTGTGTGGCCACATCCAGACCAGACGTTAAAGCGAGACTGGGCCCACAGCTTGCCCCTGCTAGCCTAAATAGGTGCTGGGGAACTTCAGGAGGAACTGAGAAGCCACCAAGGCCAGAGGGCACGCCAGAGACAGAGGACATGCCAGAGAGGGTCTGGCTCCTTCGCAGCTGCTGCAGGGGCACTGGGCCAGGTGAGATGCTGGCCCAGGCTGGCTGAGTCCCACCTCCTGCAGTGAGGAGCTGATCAGAGGTGACAGGCCTCAGGCAGGCCCCTGCCCCAGGTCCCCCCCACCCCGCCCCGGGGCACTAAAGATGGGGCTCAGCAGCAGTTCACGGGAAGAAAGGCTGACTGGCTTATTCACCGTCAAGGCCACGTGAGTCGGCAGAGATGGTACTGGGCAGCCCAGAGCCCCCGTCCTCTCATGAACCGAGAGCAGGGCACTGACCTGGAGGCCACTCCTCCCTGAGACAGGCAGATGGGTAGGGGCCGTGGAGAGGAGAGAGAAGGGATCCCCGAGAGGTGCTTGGGGCATGGCCGAATGCACCCACACTCACCCCGGGGAGCACTGAGAAGCTGGTTCTGAAAGGCCAGAGAAGGGCTTGGCCACGGGGCGGGCCAGTTAGCCTCAGTGGGCCTCAGGCCGGGGGGCAGGACCGAGCAGACACCCCCCCACACCCCATGCCTCCAGGATTATGTTTGCAAGAAGGATTTTGTGGGTAGCCAAGGTGTGGGCTTGTGTCTCGCCCAGCCCAGTGTGTGAGTAGAAGAGGACAGGAGGCCTCGGGCCGGGGCACTGAGCCTCCCAGGTGCCAACCACCAGGGCAGGGGACGAGAGCTGGCGGGACCCGGATCTGCCTGTCTTGCTCTGTCCCTGGCTCTCTGTCATCAGAACCCTTTGCTCCACAAGCAAGTGCTGAGGGGTCTGTGCCCTGCGTGCAGAGGTGGGAAAACCCGGGCCCTGCCCCAAAGAGTGCAGGGTCCTGTGCCGGTCCAGCTGAGAGGGCTGCGCGCGGGGAGGCCACCGCCCAGGGGAGAAATGGTGGGACCCCGTTAGCGGGTTAATGGAATGGAGGGGAAAGACATTTCTCGGGCCCTGAATAAAACCCTGAAGGACCATTTCGGGGATGAGAGAGGAAGAGGAGGCCGCCAGACCCACGGAGAAGGAGCGATGGAGCCAGGAGAGCATCTGGCCAGGAGGCCGGCAGGAGAGATGGGCACGTCCTCATTGCAGATGGCCAACCCCGCGCAGGGCCGGACTGATGAGCGAGGAGCGGATGGAGGGGAGCCTGACGGCACCCGAACACCTAGGAGAGGCTCCAGGGGTCTGCAAGAGTGTTGGGGCGGAGGGTGGGGTCCACTGGGGCAAAAACACATTTAATAAAAACACATGGGACATGCATGGGTCCATGGTGCTAGCAAGACAGGGTGTCCACTCACCTGAGGTCCAAATTCAAGTGAATAGTAATTTTGAAAGTTAGACAAAGCCTGCTTGCCAGTTTCGGGAGGAAAGAGAGTGGTGCTTGGGTTAGGAGCCCCGAAGGCTGGGAGGGGCAGCGTTCCCAGCGGGCACTGGGAGCACCCCTCTTCTGGGCTGAGAACCTGGGGGCGTAGAGGGCAAGTGAGCGGTGAGGGCTGTGCCCCCAGATGACCACGAGGTCCTCGTCTGATGGGAAGGCAGCCTGGCCGAGGGCATCTCCTTTCCGGTCAGAGGTAGCCACGCACCCCCCCTTCCTCCTGCCAGCCTTCCATTGATGGTGGAGGCTAGGGCCACTTCATCACCGTTCGATGTTTCCACTATTCTGACTGCCGTGACCTAGGCAATGATTTCTCTCCGTGGCTTGGCAGACTTTTTAAAACCAGACTTTTTGAGGTCTGATTCATATCCAATAAAATTCACAAATTTTTCTTACACATGTATACAGTGGTGTAACCACCACCATAATCATGATATAGAACATTTGCCTCACTCCAGAAAGTTCTCTCATGGCTCTTTGCCATCTCCTCCCCCTACCTGGAGCCTGGCAACCATGATCTTTCTATCAATATAGATTTGTCTTTTCTAGAATTTTATAAAAATAGAATCATAGAGTATGTAGTATTTTGTGCCTGGCTTCTTTTACTCAGCAGAATGCCTTTGAGTTCACGTCTGTTGCTGTGTGTGTTAGGAGTTTGTTCCTCTGTTGTACGGACGGACCACAGATCATTGATTCCATTACTAGTTGAAGAACACGTGGGCTGTTTCTAGTTTGAAGCTGTTATGAATAAGGCTACTCTGAATCTTGAGTACAGGCCTTTGGGTGCGCATGACTTAACTTCTCTAGAGTACGTCCTTAGCGCCGAGACTACTGGGTCAGTCGATGAGAACCTATGGGCCTACTGCTTTGCATCTGTGCCAGCCTGTTTAATTTGAATAGTATTTTATTGGGATCTTATTTTGCATTTTCCTTGTGACTGATGATGGTGAGAATCTTCTCATATATACATACATATTTTTTTAAAGATTTTATTTATTTATTTGACAGAGAGAGAGAGATAGTGAGAGCAGGAACGCAAGCAGGGGGAGTGGGAGAGGGAGAAGCAGGCTTCTCGAGGAGCAGGGAGCCCGATGCGGGGCTCGATGCCAGGACCCTGGGATCATGACCTGAGCCGAAGGCAGACGCTTAACGACTGAGCCACCCAGGCGCCCCGAGAATCTTCTCATATATTTATTTGCCATTTGTATACATTCTTTGGTGAAGTATCTAGTCAAATCTTTTGTCAATTTTTAAAAGTTTTCCCCATTATTGAGTTGTAAGAGTTTTTTTCATTTTTAATATATTTTGGATACTTCTTTAAAAGATACGTTTTGTAAATATTTTCCCCAGTATGTGGCTTGCGTTTTCATTGCACTAACAGTCTCTTTTAAGTTATTTCTACCCCCAACGTGGGGCTCAAACTCACGAGCCTGAGATCAAGAGTCACATGTTCTACCAATTGAGCCACCCAGGCGCCCGTAACAGTCTCTTTTAAAAAGCAAACTTTCAGGGCACCCAGCCAGTTCAGTCAGTAGAGCATATGACTCTTGATCTTGGGGTTGTAAGTTTGAGCCCCCATTGGGGGTACAGATTACATGAGAAACATTAAAAAAATAAAATCTTGGGGCATGTGGGTGGCTCAGTCGGTTAAGCGTCTGCCTTCGGCTCAGGTCATGATCCCGGGGTCCTGGTATCGAGCCTCGCATCGGGCTCCCTGCTCCGCGGGAGGCCTGCTTCTTTCTCTCCCACTCCGCCTGCTTGTGTTCCCTCTCTTGCTGTATCTCTCTTAATTAAAAAAAAAAAAAAGTGCTTAAAAAAAAACACATAGATTAGAAAGAAATGTGTTTTTATTCGAGATGACATTATTATCTATGTAAAAAAAATCCTAAGAAATCTACAAAAACCGGGCGCCTGGGTGGCTCAGTTGGTTAAGCGACTGCCTTCGGCTCAGGTCATGATCCTGGAGTCCCTGGATCGAGTCCCGCATCGGGCTCCCTGCTCGGCAGGGAGCCTGCTTCTCCCTCTGACCCTCCCCCCTCTCATGCTCTCTGTCTCTCATTCTCTCTCTCTCAAATAAATAAAAATAAAATCTAAAAAAAAAAAAAAGAAATCTACAAAAACCAATAGAACTATTGAGTAGGTTTAGCAAGGTCACAGGATAAACAGTCAATATGCAAATATCAATAGTATTTCTATATACTAGCAACTGACAATCAAATTATGACATTTAAAAGTACCATTGGTTGGGGCACCTAAATGGCTCAGTCAACTGAGTGGCTGACTCTTGATTTCAGCTCAGGTCATGATCTCAGGGTGATGAGACTGAGCTCCGCATTGAGCTTCATGCTCAGCACAGAGTCTGCTTGTCCCTCTACCTGCCCCTGCCCCCACTCATGCGCTCCCTCTCTCTCTCTTTCAAATAAATAAATAAGTAAAATCTTTAAAAAAATAAAAATAAAAAAGCATGTGGTTTCACCATTTTTTCGGTTCCTCATTTCCTTACCAGTGCCCCTGTGTATTTCAAAACTTACATAAATGTGTGTGCTTAAAAAAGAAAGAAAGAGGGGCGCCTGGGCGGCTCAGT